CAAGGCCCCGTACACCTGCTCGAAAGCTACCGCGTCCATCTCCCCGCCTCACTTCCCCAACTACTCCATCATCTTATCAGACCAACCGTCGTTGTAATACGTCGTTGTAATACTAGTTGGTTCGCTTTGCAACATCGTGGACCCACGCAGATTGTGTTCAGAATATTACGTGCCGCAGAAACTGTTTGCAGATCATCTGCAAACTGCGCTTGGCCTTTTTCTGTACCAACTCGAGCGCTCTCATCAAGCGTACCCATTTATCCATCTCCTTTTAGGTTGTATTCGACCCGTTGGGTTGCATCGTTATAGAATTAACGCCGCTTCCTAGTTCAACAGCTATTTCCGGAGAGTTTCAGCTTGTTCCTTCCACACCGCGCCCTGATTCTGTTGACCACCCTTGCCGTCGCCGCGTTCATTTTTGTTGGGTGCCAAAGCGACTCGCCCCAACCTTCCCCAACAACTACTACAGCGCCGGCCACGCCCTTAGCGGCCCCAACTTCCGCACCAGAGGAGACTCCGGAACCTTCGCCAACGCCGGAGCCTGTTGCCACAGCGACTCCACAGCCTACCGCCACTCCCGCACTCACGCCGGAGCCCGCTCCCACGGCAACTCCGCAACCCTCCGCCACTCCCGCACTCACGCCGGAGCCCACTCCCACGGCAGCTCCGCAACCCTCCGCCACTCCCGCACCAACGCCGGAGCCCGCTCCCACGGCAACTCCTGATCCTACGCCGGTAGCTACTCCGGAACCTGTACCCGATGCTACGCAGGTCCTTGTACCTGCCCCACCGATTGCCGGGGAGCGTCCTCACAGCTATACCCATCACGGGATCGCAGTAGAGGATCCCTGGCATTGGCTGGAGGACGAGGACTATCCGACAGTAGACGACGAGGATGTGCTGGCATATCTGGAGGCGGAGAACGACTATTTCGACGTCTCTATGGAACCCTATCAGGACCTGATTGACAGCATCTACAAGGAGATCGAGGGGCGCCAGCCGGCGGAACTGACCAGTCTGCCCCGAAAGGGCGGGGACTGGTATTACCAGTGGAGGTATGGTGAGGGGAGCCAATACCGCCAGTGGCTGCGCTGGCCGGCATCCGGCCCGGATGCGAGAGAGGGTCCCACCGACAACTCCCAGGTGTTCCTGGACGAGCCGGCGTTGGCGGAGGGCCTGGAATACTTCCGCCTGGGATCCCTTTCGGTTAGCAACGTCGGCTCCAAGGTGGCCTACAGCACCGACACCAACGGGTCAGAACGGTACACCCTCGTGGTAAAGGACCTTGTGACAGGGGAATTGCTGCCAGACGAGATCGAGGAAACGAGAGGAGGGGCCGTCTGGTCCAGCGACGACTCATCCTTCTTCTACACTTCGCTGGACGATACCGGGCATCCGTTTCAGGTGCGGCGGCACATCGTGGGTGGCCCAGTCGAGGACGATGCGGTGGTTTACGAGGAGACCGACCCGGGATTCTTCGTCTGGGTAACAGGCACCAACTCCGAGGAATACGTCATCATCGGAGGGGGTGACCACGTGACTTCTGAGTACCGGCTGATCGATGCGGACGACCCGGCAGCCGAGCCAGTCCTGGTGGCTCCGAGGAGGGAAGGCCACGATTACTCGATTGACCACCAGGGTGATCGCTTTGTCATTATGACCAACGACAAACACCAGAACTACCGGATCGCCACTGCGCCCGAAGGCGACCCCACGGAGACGGCCTGGGAGTCCATTCTGGATGGCACAGACTCGCTATACATTCAGTACTTTCACGTTACGGAGGATTACATCGCTGTCGAGGAGCGTGTCGATGGCCTGGACCAGGTGCGCATCATCGATCGCAATGACGATCAGACGCACATCCCATTCCCTGAGGAGGCCTACACAGCCTACATCCAATTCGATCCCGAATTCGGCGTCAACACTCTCCGGCTCTCGTACACGTCCATGACCACACCCTGGACGGACATCGACTATCACATCGACACGAAAGAGCTCGAGGTTCGTAAGGTGCAGGAGATTCCCAGCGGGTACGACGCATCGCAATTCGTTACCATCAGGGAACTGGCCCCCGCGAGGGACGGCGTGATGGTCCCCGTTTCCATCGTACGCCACAAGGACACGCCGTTGGACGGTTCGGCGCCCCTGTATATCTACGCCTACGGCGCCTACGGCAGTGCCGTTTCCCCGTACTTCTCATCTGCCCGCCTGTCCATGCTAGAACGAGGGTTCATCTTCGCCATCGCCCACGTCCGGGGCGGAGATGACCTGGGTTACCACTGGTATGAGGCCGGCAAGCTGTTCGAGAGAACCAACACCTTTAACGACTTCGTCGATGTGGCGCGCCACCTTACAGACAAGGGGTACGGGTCGGAGGGGCGGATCGCCATTTCCGGGGCCAGCGCGGGCGGGACCCTGATGGGGGCGGTGGTGAACCAGGCGCCGGACCTCTGGGGCGCGATGGTCACCCAGGTCCCCTTCGTGGATGTCCTGAATACCATGCTCAATGCCGACCTGACCCTTGACACCGCCGGAGTGGCCTGAGTGGGGCAACCCCATCGAGGACAAGAACGCTTTCGAGTACATTCGATCCTACTCGCCCTACGACCAGCTCTCGGCGGGAGACTACCCTCCGATTATGGTTACGGCGGGCCTGAACGACCCGCGGGTAACGTACTGGGAACCGGCCAAGTACGTGGCCAAGCTGCGGGCAGTCAAGACGGACGACAACCTGTTGCTGCTCAAGACCGACATGGGCTCAGGGCACGGGGGCAGGTCGGGACGGACCGCCCGGTGGTACGAAATCGCCGAAGAGTATGCCTTCATCCTGGCGAACCTGGGATTGGCAGAATAGGCGGGCATTCTTGGGCCTGATGAGACATTCCCCTTCGGCAGCCTCCACTCTCCAGGTGTTGCGCTCTTCTAGATAAGGGGAGCTACCTCAGGCGATGCCAGCTGAGGGCCCAGAGCGGACTGGCTCTGTACGCCCAAGGGCGCATTGTTCTCTTCCGGCGCCATCCCATCATCTGGGATGGCGCCGCCCCTACAGCACTGCACAGTTGCGGACGGCGGAGAAAGCTGTCCGAAAGCCTTCGGGATAAGCGTTGGCGACATGGCAACTCGTCACCGTCACTGTAGGTGCGGCAGCAGTTCCTCGGAGATGAGCTGCAGAGTACTCCAGCTTGGCTGGGAATTCTCTGGGCAGGTTCAGGCTGGCCAGACCGATGTAGTCCAAGCCTTCCTGTTCTTTGCAACGGTTGATGATTTCGGCGCAGTCCTGCGGGCTGCCGGCGACTGCCCAATCGGGCAAGTCCCGCTGCCCTCCCAGTCCGAAATCAACCGTGGTGTTCTCCTGCATGTTGAACGAGCTGTACATGCCGGCTTTCTTTGCGGCCATTTCCCTGGCCTCGGTGATGGCCGTTTCGCGGTCTTTGGCTATGGCGATGGAGCGGTGGACGCCGATTCGTCCCGTGGGATCCCTGCCCAGCTCTTCAAGGGCATCCTTGTACTGGCGGGTCAGGAGGCTGATGTCCTGCCATCCGGGCTGCGGGCCGAGGATGATCCGGTCGGCGAGGGCGGCGGCGCGGCGCACCGCGCCACGGCTCTGCGCCGCGATCCAGATGGGAGGATGCGGCTCCTGTACGGGAGTCAGTGCCAGCCTGGCGTCATGTACCTGCCAGTGCCTCCCATCGTAGTTGACCTCGTCCCCGCTCCACAGCAGCTTCATCAGCTCTATGGACTCTTCGAACCGGCTCACCCGGTCTCTCCGGTTGGTCCCGAACGCAGACAGCTCCGCCTGCCGGTAACCCAAGCCCACTCCGAGGATGAACCGCCCGTTGCTGATATGGTCCAGCGTTACCGTCTGCTCGGCGATGTCCACCGGGTTGTGGTAGGGGAGCAATAGGATGCCGGTCAGGAGCTGCAGGCCCTGGGCGTCGGGAGCCAGACGGGCCAGGGTCTGCATTGGCTGCATCCATACGGTGGGATGGGATATGTAGTGCTGGGGCATGTAGATGACCGAGAACCCCAGCGAACTGGGCGCGGCGGCATACCTCGGCGGCCTCTTCCACCTGCTGGTACATGGGGCGGTCGGGGTCTTCCATGTAGTCCCGGATATAAAGCCCTACTTCCATGGCACTCCACTCTGATTCTGGATGGCAACCTGTACCCAATGTCTGCCACAGGCGGTCTGGTCCGGCCCGCCTAGGTTGTGCCGGGGGGTTATTCTTCCGCGGCCTGGGCGGCGGCGAGGTAGTCGGGGTCGGCGAAGTCCGCGAACCGGTCCGGGAGGAACTCGCTCATGTCGGAGACGGCCTGGGTTGTGCCATGGCAGATGTAGTCTGTGATGATGCGGCCGGTGATGGGACCCAAGTGGATGCCCTTGGTGGTGTGGCCGGTGGCCAGGTAGATGCCCTCCCAGCCGGGAACCGGGCCGATGACGGGCTTGCTGTCGGGGCTCAGCGGGCGGGAACCGGCAAGCTGCTGGACCAGCTCGGCGCGTTCGAGGTCGGGAAAGACGTCCAAGGCTCGCCGGAGGAGTTCCAAGCGGGCGGCCTCCGTGGGCTGCCGGTCAAACTCCTCACCCCAGAAGAGCTCTTTCTGGTCATAGTCCCGTCCACCGGTGCTACCGACGCTGGTGAGACCATCGGTCCGGCTGATCATGTGCCCGCGCTTGGGGGAGCTGATGAGCACCGGAAGGGGTTCGCCGGGGTAGTTCAGCAGAAGGCGCTCTCCCTTCATGGGCCGGACGGGCACGGGGAAGCCCAGCCATGGAGTGAAGGCCCGGCTCCATGTACCGGCGGCCACCACCACCGCGTCGCAGTGTATGTCTCCGGAGGCGGTACTGACGCCGGAGATTGTGGCTCCGCTGGTGAGGAGGCCGGTCACCTCCCGGTAGAGGATGCTGGCGCCCTTGAGTTCGGCGCCCCGGCCCAGAGCCAGGTTGAGGCGGTAGCTGTCCAACTGGGCGGACTCGTCCTCATAGACGGCGCCGATGATGGAATGGGAAAGGCGGGGCTCGATGGCGCGGACTTCCTGGGCGTCGATCCAGTGCATACTGACATGAGGCTGCTGCCAGACCATCAGGTCCTTGATCAGGTCGGCCTCTTCGTCGTCCAGAGCCAGCCGCAGAGATGGACGGCGCTGGTAGAGCAGGTCCATACCCGTGGCGGATTCCAGCTCGGGGACGATCTGCAGAAACTCGGAGTAGGAGACCCGGGCCATTTCGAAAGACGCCCCGGGGGAGAACTCGGCACCCAGCAGGCTGAGGGAGCCGGTGGCGTGGGCGGAGGCGCCACTGCCGATAGCTTCCCGCTCCAGTAGAGTCACTTTGACGCCCTCTCGGGCCAAGTAATAAGCGATCGAGCAGCCAACCACGCCGGCGCCAATGACAACTACGTCGGGACTCTCAGGCAAATCTCAGCCCTCCTATGGGGGTTCTGAGAATTTTCGCCTTGGGCCGCACAGGTGTCAATCGGCGCATGGGATGCCATTGCTGTTAGACCCAGCTGGTCGTTCTGGGAGGGTCATGCCGACTGGTCGCAGAGTTCGAGGGTGAGGGGCTGGCACGGTAGATTTCACGCTCGTTGGCGTACTTGCGCATCAGGGCGTCGCCCTGTCTTCTGAGCTGGGCGAATGTCATTGCTTCTTCGTCCTGTTCAGGCAGTGGGTCCAGAAATTTTCAATTTTCCGGTAGTTTGGCCCCTCGGGCAGGGCAATCGCGTCTTATTTGTCAGCACACACCATTGGTCTAATGTCGGTGGATATGGGAGTGGGAGTGGTAGCGCCTCCTTCGGTTCCGGGTGCGAGGGTAGACGGGGGTTTGGATTCCCGCTTTCGCGGAAATGACGAAAGATCGCGGGGATGACGGTTGGGTGCCGAGGGAGGCGGTTGGGTGCTGAGGGCTGTTGGGGGTGATCCTCCTTCCGGTGTGGGTTGCGGTTGGGTTGTCGGGTTGGGGTCTGCTTAGTGTCAGGGGTATGGAAATCGCTGACATTCGCTGACATTTCCTGTCATTGGGTGGGTTATGGGGCTTGGGTCTCCGCTTTCGCGGGAATGACGAAAGATCGCGGGGATCAGGCGGTGCCGGGGATATTCCGTTCCAGGTTGTTCAGCCAGGAACCATTGGCGGACCAGGGGAGGAGGGTGGTGATGATTCCCCTTATTACGGGACGCCTATCGTCGTCGATGCAACGCTGGAGGTATTTCTCGAAGGCCATGTAAGTGTGCAGGCGGAAGCCGGCGTCGGCCACCCTGCGGACGCAGGAGTACGGGTCGGGTTTGGGTTGCTTGTTTACAATGGCGATGTGCCAGAGTTCGGTGATCTCATTGGCGACGCGGCTGAGCCGGATGATGGCGAGCTCGGGGGCGAATTTGCGCTTGAGGGCCTCGATGCCGTTCCTGATCTGGCGCAACGACATATGGCGCGACGACATGATTCAGCCTCATGATGGTTTCCGAAAATCTGGAAATTCCGCTTATTTCCGATCAAACCCGAGCATTTCCGATCATTTTTGCCTTTTGCCCTTGGGAGTTGCTCGCGACTCCGTGCTGGGGTCCGGCCTGCGGCAGCGGGTTGTATTTCCATGTATTCAAGCTAGAGATGTGTCATGAGGCTTGTAAAGGGGCAAGTGTCAGCAATTTTGGGGGACGGGCTTGCTCGGAGGCTTGGGGCCGTGGATTCCGGCCTCCGCCCTGCTTTTGTGGGTGCGACGGGGGTTTGGATTCCCGCTTTCGCGGGAATGACGATCGGGGGGAGGGCCTGCGCCGGAGGGAGGGACGGAGTGGATTCCGGCCCTGCGCCTGCTCTTGCGGGTGTGGCGGGAGTTTGGATTCCCGCTTCCGTGGGAAGGACGGTTGGGGGTGCGGGAATTACGATTAGGGTTGAGGCCTGCGCCGGGGGGACGGACGGAGTAGTTTCCGGCCCTGCACCTGCTTTTGTGGGTGTGACGGGGGGTTGGATTCCCGCTTTCGCGGGAAAGACGATCGGGGGTGCGGGGATGACGATTGGGGCGAGGCAAATTGCCTGGATTGGCGCTTTGCCGATTGCTGAGAGTGGGATTGTTGGCTCCGCTCTGTATTACTGCCTCATCACCTGATGGTTGGTGTTCCACTGCTGTCGGTTTCGCGGGAGGCGCGGGAGACTATCTAAAAAGAACCTTATCCCAGGGGAAAAGCCGTGGGTGCAGCTATGGCCAGTGAATTACAATGGAGCGAATATTACGGGGAGAACATGAGCCAGATACTTCGCAAAGGAAATGCTGCCACGCTCATGGCGCGGGGCGAGTTGACCTGTGGAATGAGCGCCCACAAGTTGCAAAGGAGAGACAATGACCACCGTTGAATACCATCCAGAGGCCAGATTCCGCGTCGACACGACCGATCGGGTTTACCTGGAACACGAGAGCGGCAGCCTTGAGGCCACGATATACCAACCGAAGGGAAGGGGGCCCTTCCCGGGATTGGTGGACGTTCACGGCGGAAGGTGGTTCCTGGGCGATCGCTCGGACGACCATCCCATGAACCTGGCCCTGGCGTCCAGCGGCATAGTGGTCGTAGCCGTGGACTTCAGGCTGGCCCCACAGCACCCGTACCCGGCCCAGGTCGCTGACACCAACTACGCGATTCGCTGGATGAAAGCAAACGCGGGGCACCTCAGCGTAGACCCGGCATCAGTGGGGGCCATGGGTTGCTCCAGCGGCGGCCATACCGTAGCGCTGAACGGGATGCGCCCCAGGGATCCCCGCTATGCTGCGTTGCCTCTCACGGGAGCAGAGCACGTGGACGCTTCACTGCGATTCATGCTGTGCTGCTGGCCCGTCCTCGACCCCTACGCCCGCTACCTCTGGGCCCGGGAAATTGGCGACGACCGGTTTATTGGTCCCACGGAGACCTACTTTCCCGACCCTTCGAGCCTGCACGAAGGGAACCCGCAGGAGGCCCTGGAACGGGGAGAGGCGGTGGAGTTGCCCCCCACGATCATCATCCAAGGCACCAATGACTCCAACGTTCCCCAGTCCATCCCGCACAAGTTCGAGGCGTCCTACCGGGCTGCCGGAGGCGACATAGAGCTGGAGCTGTTCCCGGGGATGCCCCACCGCTTCGGCAACATGCCCGGAGCCGCATCCCAGCGGGCGATTGATCTGATGAAGGGCTTCATCTCGCGGCAGTTGTCGAGCCCGGCGGTGGCGCCGGTCAGCCAGTCCACCTGAGATCCGACGCTAACTAAGCTGCGGGGATGGCGACGGTCAGGAGCACGACTGCTGTGCCCCTAGCCCGGAAGCTGATCCAGCGCTAACTGTCGCCTCCCACGAAGTAGTCGTACTTGCGCCCTGCCAGGTCCGCCACCTCGGGCACGTCCTCCTCCAGCAGGTAGCCTTCGGCCACGAGGTCCATGGCCGCTCGGGTCACCTGCTCCAGGTAGTCCTCGCGGCTGGCGTAGCGTTCCTCGATGGATGCTCGCGGGTCGCCCGTGGACTCGCGCTCGGCCTGGGTGGCAGGCAAGGGGTGGGTCCAGCCGGCGAGGCCGCCGGTGATGCCGATGAATAGTTCGGGGTTGCCGATGCTCTCATCGCGAAGATTCCAGCCGGTGTAGGTGGCGACCGGGACGGACAGGTCGGGCAAGCGGATGCCACCACGCTCATTGAAGGACTCGTCGAGGTCGGCCACCAGCGCCGGGAACTCTTCTCCCTCCTCGGCTGGCAACGTGGTGGTGCGTCCCAGGTGGGCGTCCGGGCCGTAGTCCAGCCTGATGGCCCTGGTGGTCTGGGTCGGGACTTTCACGCCGGGGAGCTGGGCGAACCGTTCCAGCAGCGTATGGGACTCCACAGCCGTGCCGGCATCCAGGCTGGGATGACGGCTGGCGGGAGGCTCTTCGCCCATGGTGACCCAGCGGTCGAGGTTGTCCAGCGCCGCCCGCAACAGGGGGGCGTAGTCCACGCTGTTGAGCGGTAGCTGTCCCCTGATGCCGTCGCTGGCACGGAATTCCAGCGGGGGGAACTCGCCCGAGCCGTGCTGGCAGCCGGCGAAGTGGTAGCGGCGGACCGACGGCGACTCGGGAGCGTCGGTCAGGGTCTCCAAATCGGTGTGTATCAGCGCCGCATCGCCGCGCCAGTACTCGGCGGAGGTATTAGTGAACATGATCCTGGGCACCTTGCCTCGCCGCTCCATGGCGTCGAGCAGGGAACCCTGGGCGCCGGTCACCGGGTCGGTCTGGGGAGTGTCGGTGAAGGGGAACATCTCCGGGATGATGTAGCAAACGTCCTTGGAGGGTTGGCCGAAGCGCATGTTGAACTCGCCGCGCATGCCGCCGGCCACGTGGGGGATGATCCCGTCGAGGGCCTGCCGGTCCTCCTCGTCCTCGTTGATGCCGACGTGGATGTACTGGCGCAGGAATCGGCCGCTCTGGGAGCGGCCCATGGCGTACGCGTAGTCGATGGCCCCGGCAAGCGGATTGCCCGCCGATGACGGGGCGTGTTTCAGGAAGGAGACGGCATCCCGCATTGCGGCGAAGCCCAGCCCCACGATGCGGCTGCCGGTGGTGGTGTAGACCAGCTGGTAGATCCTCCCCGGATCGAACCCAGAGGGCATGTAGATGTGGCTGTGCTGCGGCTCCACGTCCTCGTCCTCAACCCGGACGAAGGACCACTGGCTCCGGTCAACAGGAATGGCGGGGCTGTTGGGCTGGTCCCGCACCGTCAGGGTGGCATCAGCTTCTTCAGGGTCGGCGGCAGGGTTGGGGAGGTGCTGCCGGTCTGCCAACAGGAACACCTGGGTGGGTTCGTTGCACTGGAACTGGCACATGATCCTGCCGGTCAGCGGCCCCTGGGGGCCGACGGCCTCGGGCACCTGCAGGCCGATAAGTCCGGGAGTGGGGGGCACGTCGGCTTGCCAGCCGCCCCAGACCACCGTATAGCCCCGGCGCATCAGGTAGCCGTTGCCCGCGTCGAGGGGCGCGGTGGCGTCGGTCGGGATGGGGACGCTGTTCAGGGTCAGGGCGGTCTTGCGGCCGCGGTTCACGACGTCGAACAGGAGGCGGCGGTTGCCACGGTCGATGTTCGCGGGCTGGAGCATGGCGAAATCGGCCGAGAACTCCACGTTGCCTGCGGAATTGCGGGGCGCCAAGTTCAGGTCCGTAATCCCCTGATTCCGGGCGTGCGACGGGTCCACGGCGTAGTGGGCGGTGCCTTCCAGCAACTCATACGCCCCTACGTCGCTGAAGCGCTCGCCGGACGCGAAGCTGGTGCGATTGGTGATTTCCAGTTCTGTTAAAGCCAAGACGCCTCCGGTCGGCCGGCACCCGATGGCCAGTGGCCGATTTCAAGTTCGAGGTTGCCAGTCTCCGGGGGATTTTAGCACCTGGGGCCGTGGTGGGGGTGGCCCTGGATGAGCGGCGACGGTGATTAGGGACCGCCGAGTCGGAGATGACCGAGTCAGTTGCCCGTGCCTGTCATCATCGCTGTGAAACGCCGCTGCATCTCCTCCGGCGTGACCTCGGCTAGAAAATGGCCTATGTTCCAGCGATGGCCGGAGGGGTCGCGCAACCAGCCCGACCGCTCGCCGTAGAACTGGTCCTCCGGGTCGCTCTCGATCTCGGCGCCCGCCTCGGCCGCGCGACGGATCACAGCGTCGGCATCGTCGACCTGCAGGTGCATCGTGACCGTGGTGCCGCCCAAAGTCAGCGGTCCCAAGATGCCGAACTCAGGAAACTCTTCGGCCAGCATTAGCGTCGTACCGCCGAAATCAAGCACGGCGTGCCCGATGCGTCCGCTAGGATCCGTCAGTCGAAACTTCTCAGTCGCCCCGAATACCGACGTATAGAACTCGATGGCCCTGGCGGCATCGTTGACCTGCAGATATGCGAGCAAGTGGTGGATCTTTTCATTGCGGCAGCGCTTTACTTTCCATGAGGTCTATCTTGTGGACGTCGTTGTGGCATCCGTTGACCACGTTCTTGGTGGGTGGCGGGGTAGTCTAGCAACGGTGGAGGGGTGCGTCAATTTAGGGTGCTGGTGAAAGTAAGGGCTGTTCAAAGTTGTGGCCAAGTGGATTCACTCCTGTGGTGAACAGTGCCACATTGTCAACGATTGCCTGCCCGCGTTTGACCCATTGTCGCCGCCGGTTACTGTCTTGGCGTTGGTTGGGGCATCCGGCGTGGCAGGGGCTGTACCTCCTGCAAGCTGCTCAGATCCAGGGGCGGGATGTCTACCTGCATAAACTCCTGTACGCCATTGGCCAGTTCGTTGTAGCTTCCAAACCAGGACGCCAATTGGCTGCGCCATGCATCCAGCCCACCGCTGGCGTGGAGCTCGAAAACAGCCTCCCGTCCGTCCAAACCCGACGACACCTGGTCCCAGGCGAGTTGCAGGAGCGCCGCTCGTTGCATCGCGGTGTAGCCGCCACCGCCGAAGGCGTCTTCCAGATCAGCGGCCATCTTCGGGTCTGCGAAGTCGGTGTCGGCCGGGGCGTTGACCAAGGACGAGCCGGGGAGGCCACGCAGGATTTCGCCCATTCGCTGGCGGACTTTGAGGGTGTTGATTCCGGCAGCGGCCACGTGAACCTGGTTGGGCAGGGCATGCCCGCTCTCGGTCGTTTCGGGCTCCAGTTCCGCCGCGCCGTCATGCAGGTGCGGGTAGTCTGGACGTTGACTGTGAGCTCGACGAGCTGCTCGATTGTCTGAGGATTGTCCTTGAGGCCCATGACTTCAGCCAGGGCGAGACCGAGGCCCAGGGTCAGTTCCGCCTTGGCGAGCCAGCCATAGCTGTGATGCCACAGCAACCAAGCCACCAGCGAATGGCGCTGGTTTCGGTTCATCAATTCCCCGGTAAAGACGCGAGAGCGAGGGACGAACACATCCTCCATCCAGACCATGGAGTCCAGTTCGTCAAACCGGCTGCTCAAAGGGGACAGGAACGGATTGCTGTGCCTGGCGACGGCGCGGCGCGATACCACCCGGAGGCCGGGGGAGTTCACCGGCACGATGAACCACAGAAGCCTCCCGCTGCCCGGCGGCAACTCATCCCGGCTGGTGATCAGCAGATCCTCAGCGAAGGGTGTGCTGGTGTGCATCTGGATCTTGCCTGACACCACGATGCCATCAGGAGTTTCACTGACCAGGCGCAGTGCCGCTCGATCGCTTTCAGCTTCGCGGAGCCGTGTACCGATCAGCGGCCCGCCGCCGGCGAAGGTGAGAAACCTGCCACTCTCGGACAGGGACTCGAGGTAGGCCTCAGCGGCCTCAATCTCCTTAGTGGAGTGGTTCACCCGCTTCAGGGCATTCAGCATCCCCAAGGCAATCAATGCGCCGTAGCCTGGGGTGTGAGTCATGTTTCCACCGGTCACGAAATGCACGGCGCCTGACGGCCTTGCCGAGGCGCCTCAGGTCCGCCGACGACTTTGGCGGGGTAAGTGCTAGAGGATGCCGATGACCGTTGCCATCGGACGGGGTCAGGAGGATATCCTGCCAATCAGCGTCAAAGTGGCGGTCATACCACGCCACGTACTCGTCCACCATGGCCGACGTCGAAGGGTGTGTCGTGACGTCTGCCACGGCGCCTTCGCCCACCACCCATACGTCGCGCCCGTCGCGCAGACTCTCTTTGTAATCAGCTCCTGTCCGCATACTTCACTGTCCACTAGGCGACTATACGACCGGATTCAAAATGAGATTGTACATTGGCATACACCAGCGGACATACCGGGTAGCGGCGATTGGTGGGCCGGTCTGGGGACAGCTGCCCCCGGGTCAAGTTCAGCCTGTCGCCGGATGGAGGCCCAGCAGACGTTGTGCGTTGCCGTGGTTTGATAAGCTCCCGGTCGGACTCCGGGCAGTCTAGGCCATCCACCATCTCGTTGAACATCGCAAAGTTGGGATGACCGAAGGGGTGGTCGGTACCGTAGAGCAGCCGCTCTGCCCCGAACATCTTGTAGCAGTATTCCAGGGCGGCCGGACTGTGGGAGACAGTGTCGACGTACAACTTGTCGAAGTAAACCTGCGAGGACTGGTCCAGATCGACCCAGCCGTCAGGTGAGGTCCATTCGTCGATCATCCGGCCCACGCGGCCGCGGATGAAGGGGACGAACCCGCCCGTATGGGGGACGATCAGCTTCAGGTCCGGGTACTCCTGGAAGAGGCCGCTCATCACCATGCGCACCGTGGCGAGGGCGGTATCGAACATGAAGGCCATGCCGGGAACCAAGGGGCGATGGTCGATGGCATTCATGTTGATGGGGGCCGTTGGGTGCATGTTGATGGGCACGCCCAGGCTCTGCACATGCTGGTAGACCGGCCAGAATTCTTTGATGTCCGCGGTTTTCTGGTTGATGTTGGAAAAGAGATAGACGCCTTTGAAGCCCAACTGATTCACGCAGCGGTCGATCTCTGCGATGGTGTGCTCGATGCTGTGCCAGCCCAGGGTCGCCCATGCCTCGAACTTGCCTGGGTGGGCCTGCATCACCTCGGCGAGGTGGTCGTTGATGCGGGAAGCCCAGGCATCGGCCTCGGGGCTGCCCAGCAACTCCGGCCCCGGCATGCCGTGGCTCAGCACAGATATGCCTATGCCCAAGTCCTCCATATCCCGCAGCTTCTGATCGACATCGGCGTGGGACAACAGGGAGGCGTGCTGATACCCGCCGGTACAGCTCACGAAATAGGTCCCGCCTCGAAGGACACCCTGGGGCAGGGAGCTGCGACCCGCGAGATATTCCAGATATGGCAAGTAGATCAAATGACTGTGTACATCGATGCGCATTAGTATCCTCCGGTTCTTGTCTGAAATTGGCGGCGGTTTTCCAAGCTATGAGCGAACCGCGGTGACGTTCGGCAACTGGCGGAGGTCGCACTAGAGCCCAGACCACTTACGGAATGGTCGGAGTAAACTTCCTTCACAACCGCTGGGGCAGGCAGGTATAAGGCTCCGTGGGGATATAGATTCGATGCCTCGCCTCACCCAAATAGAGCAGCGTCATTGCAGGTTGTGGCCTATTCTATCAAGGCCCCTAAAAATACAACGGAAATCAGGGGGATTGCAAAAATGGAGAGGGGGAGAACAGAGCGAGCGCGTCTTATTTGTCAGTACACAAAATTGGTCTGAATGTCGGTGGATATGGGAGTGGCAGTCCCTCCTTCGGTTCCGGGTGCGAGGGTAGACGGGGGTTTGGAATCCCGCTTGCGCGGGAATGACGACTTATAGGACCTTCGGCGTTTAAGACGCGATTGCCCTAAGGGGAGGAGGCTTGGCAGGTGAGGGATTGAAGGTGGGCTTGGGGCCGGAAATAGCGAGGTTGGGCTGGACCAGTACGTGACCGGTGCTCGAATGCAGTTCGAGTCAGACATGGGTCGGGTAGACGCAGTCACGCACTTGTGGGAGTCTCTCCGCTGATGCGGCCACGGGCTTGGGGCAATCAGGCGCGGGTCGCCCGGCGGCAGGTCCTACCTGCCGTACTGGAGGTATTGGCCCGGGAATCGTTCTGGCCCAGGGGGTTCTGAGGTTGGCGGGAATTGGCGGGGCCGGGCGGCGGGAAGGCAGGATGCTGACAATTGGAAATTCCCGCGGCCGCGGCCTGTTAAAGTCAGTCGAATAGCAAGAAATTATCGTCGGATCGACACTGCCTTTGTCTGCTTACGCTGGCCTATCAGAGTCGAGGAACGGCCAGGCAGGACGACAGCGGAGGGGAATAGTAGACTGCGTCACAGCCCGGACTCGCCCGTTCGCAGGGTAAAGGCCGATTCCACGTTGGTCACGAAAACCCGTCCGTCGCCTGGGAAGCCGGTGGAGGCTGCGGCCTGGATGGAGTCGGTGACTGCCTGAACCTGGTCGTCCTCTACCACCACCATGAACATGCACTTGGCCAGCTCGTCGTAGAAGTGGTCGCCGACCTGGACGCCCTGCTGCTTTCCCCGGCCTAGCACGTCCCACTTGGTCATTGCGGGGAACCCGTCGTTGGCCAGGGCGGCTGCCACGGGACCTCTCTTTACACGGTGCCGGGTAGCGGATGATCGCTCTAATCATTTTCAGTGTTGGGAGTCGCTCATCCTTCTCGGGTCTGCTGTCGCCTCTATTAAGCTGTCGGAATGCGACGCCGGCAGTTTGTTGGGCCGTTGAGTGCCGTTCGTCGGATAGCGGTGAATCTGTGTCACCCTGCAGCTCTCCATTGCAGCGCGAGGCAGGACGCTGGCGCCACCGCTGGTGAACAGTACGGGCACCTGCTCCATCACCTTTCGCGCTGGCTGAGCGTTGGGGCCGGTGCGGCCTCCTGCGAATATTGTTACAGCGTCGACCACTTCGCCCTCGAACCTGGTCTTGCCGCCCTGGAAACCAATATCTGCGGCGTGGTGGTTGCCGCAACCCGCGGGACAACCCGACCAGTACATCCGCAGGGGAGCCGCATCGGGATAACGGGAGTCCAGGGCCTCGATGACGCGCCGGCTGACGCTCTTGGTCTCGATCAACGCGAGGTTGCAGTAGTCGTTGCCGGTACAGCTCACCAACCCCCGCATCTGGGGAGCCGGGTCGGGCGACAAACGCGAAAGCAGCGGCTCTTCCAGAAGCGCCGGCAGGTTGGCCTCCGGCACATCGGCGATGATGGCGTTCTGTCCCACGGTCAGGCGGATGGCCCCCGAGCCGTAGACCAAGGCCAACCGGGCCAGTTCGGTCATGTCGTCGGCGCATGTGCGGCCGGTGGGAACGGACAGTCCGACGGAGTACAGCCCTTCCTGCTTCTGTGGGTTGACGCCGACATGGTCAGCGTGATGCTCGTACCGGGCGTCCTGTCCTGCCCGCTGCAACGGGCGGCCCCAGCGTCCCTGGAGCCGTTCCCGGAACTTGGCGACTCCCCAGTCATCCAGCAGGAAGGCCAGCCGGGCCCGCGTCCGCTTTTCTCGGGAACCCTCGTCGCGGAACATCAGGGTGATGGTCGAGGCCAGGCTTGCCGCCTCCTCCGGGCTCACGAACACGTCCAACGGCTCGGCGATGCTCATGCCGCCGGAACCCATCTTGCCTCCGACAGCCACGTTGAAGCCGTGAGCGCCGTCCGTACCGAAGGCCGGGGTCATCGCAATGTCCTGGGTCTCGGCGTGGATGCAGTTCTCGAGACAGCCGGTGAAGGCCACGTTCAGCTTGCGGGGCAGGTTCGTGTACTCCCGGTTGTTGAGGAACATCCGGGTGAATTCCTCACTGGCCGGCGCCGCATCGAACAACTCTTTAGGCGTCAAGCCCGACAGGGCACAGGTGTTCGTGCCGCGGATGTTGTCCATTCC